TTTTTTTTTCTCTTGAGAATGTTTCATTTCTTGACTCTCAGTATGTTGGGTAATTTTGAATTGTATCCTTGAAATTGCGAATGTTAAGTTACGGAGGTTCTGTATTCTGTTATTTTTCTCTGATGAGTGCTGTTTTCTTTGTTTTAGTAAGTACTTTCCTTGGCTAGAGACTTGAATTGAAAACTACTGTTTCTTTGTCAGCAGCTCCAGGCTCAGTTCTGATCTTTTGTGTTCAGCTGGAGAACGTGGGTCTGTTCTGTGCATGTGTGATTCACAGGTCAGTTAGAGACGTGAGTAGACAGAGTTTGAGGATCCCTCTCTTGCTTTTTCCCTTCTGGGATTTTCCCACTCTCTTCAGATTCGTAGTTTCCGGACTTCACTTTTTTGGTTTCCTAGGACAAGAAGAGTTTGGGGTTTCCCACATGTACTCTCACCCTTGCTGTGTGTACCACTTAGCCCTGGGCTAAAAACCATGAAAAAGGGAATTTACTTATAGTCCCATGTCTGCTCTCCTCAAAGTGAGTGTGAGCTCCCCACCAGAGTCTACCTTCTTCTGTTCACTTTTTAGTACCTTCAAGTAGTTGTTTTTTGTGTTATTTCCAGGCTTCATAATTGCTTTCTGTATGNGGAAAAGGCACAAAGAAAAAAAATTAGTCTTTGCAATTCAGATACGTAACATTTCCAGTGCTTTTATTCTTTTCTAAGGGTCTGAGTTTGCATCTTATATATTTTCTCCTTAGTCTGAAGAACTTCCTTTAGCATTTCTTGTAGTGCAGAGTTCTGGTGATGAATTCTCTCAGTTTCTGTTAATCTGAAAATGTATTTTGCTTTTATTCTTGGAAGATATTTTGCTGGATGTAGAATTTTGGATTGAATTTTTTCTCATTCAGTACTTTATGCTGTTTTACTCTCTTCTAGTCTCCAGGGTTTATGATAAGTCAGCTGTTAATCAGATTGTTGTTCCCCTGTGTATAATATGTCATTTTTCTCTTGCTATTTTCAATATTTGCTCCTTAACCTCGGTTTTCAACAGTTTAACTATCATGTACCCTGAAGTAGGCTTCTTTACATTCATTTTGCTTTGTCTTTGATAAGCATTTTATAGTTATACATTTCTGTCCATCAAATTTGGGATATTCAGGCCATT